GCTAATTGAATAAATAATTCCCAAAATATTGTCGGGTTAAGAATAATTCCCAAAATACTGCTGGGTTAACCAGGGTTAAGGAAAGCCGCCACTTCAAGTGGAGGTTCTTCATCTATCTTCACAAAAGCCGCCACCCACTCGGAGTGGCGGCTCATTAATTCTCAGAATATATCCCTCTTTCTTCACAGCCGATGAACGAAGCTACCCCTCCTCTGCAGCAGAATGACAGTGCCCCGATTCCAGTTAGAACTTGTCCAAACGAAGCTCAAATCAAAGGGAAAAGAGTCGTGGTGTACCCGAGGTCATTTGTACTCCATTCTAGTGACTTTCTACCGTTTGAATCAAGGTATTTCACCATTTTTGTTAAGCCTAGGTTTTTTTAATTTGTTGTTTGAAATTAGTGTTTCTTTCAATAATTTTCTTTCTATTTGATGTTGTGAAATATATAAGTTCTTAATCTTGTTATTATGATTGAATTTATATAATTTGTAAATTTTGAATTAGACCAACTTTCACCATTTTTGCTAAAGCTAGTTTTTTTAGTTATTGCTCAAAGTTGTTGTTGATTTGTTCGAAATTGTTGTTTTTTACTTGTTTAATTAATCATGTGTTAATTTGTTGCTTTTTTCATTACTCTGTTTTTTGTCACCGGTTAAGTAACATTAGTCCCAATTTAATGGTATGAAATCGTAATATGTATCTACGATCTAATACATTTCGTTTGAATTATAGTCATTGTAGTTGAATTTTCAAATAGCGGCATACGTCATACTTTTTTGGAGTGGTTTTTTTCGTAGAATATGTCTAGAAACTTCTCCATTGTTTTTTTTTGTGAAAAGTGAATTTTATTGAATAAAGGAAAAGCATACAAAGCGAGAAAGGAAGTAAAAAAAAGTACATAAAAAAGAAAACAAGTAAAAATAAAAGCTACTCCCAAGAAAAATCTCTGGACTGTGACCTAGTCCTCATATTGTGGCGCCTTTTTTTTTTTGAGATTTCTTGTAGATCTTCAGTTGCGTGTTTAGATTGTCTGTTGGCAGACAATTTTCAGAAGTCACAACATTTTCTTTGCAGCAAATTGCACTGTTGAATTTGGATTTCCTAATTTCTTCAGGGTATGAAATAGGAGGACGACGATCGCTTTCGGTTGCATGTCCTATAAAGTTATCTTTGTAGAAAGAGTCATCTGAATAATCAAAACTGTCAGAGGCATCTGAATAAGCCTGAATCATTGGCAGTTGAGGCTGTTTCTCTGAAGATAAGGCATTTTGATTGTTGGTGGACTCACCCTGAATCTGATAATTTAAGACCAGTTTGGAGATAGATGTAGGGTCCTCTAATTCAATTGTGCTCCTAAATTGAAAGATGGAGTCATCCTGCACAGTTTTTTGTATACCTACAAAATTAGAGAAAATATTGATGAATTGCAGCATGCTAGATTTTTGAGGTCCCATGGGAATCATAATGGAGCTCCCCTTGTATTTTGCAATTCTCACGTAGGAGCTTGATCTGTTTTTTTCTAAAGAAATCGCAATATCTCTGAATCGGCTAGACTGTTTAAAATTTGGTTGATCAAAAGTTGTGAACTGAGACATGAACCAAATAATTCGGGGAGCGAGAACTTCTCCATTGTTTATCAATGGGAAGGAAATATTATCGAGGAGTCAAACGGAATTCATTATATATGAAGGGGGAATTCGGAAGATAACTGTTGTTTCCTGTGGGGTGGATCTGGCTGAAATAACGAATAAAATTTATACTGCCACATCCATCAATCGTATGAACAAGTTGGATTTGAAGGTTAAATATCCCATGCATGGTGGATCATACATGTTGATGCCTCTTGCTGACGACGAAGCCGTTACAGGAATGTGGACTGTATTCGAGAATCTTGATACGCATACCATGGAGATATATGTTGAAGAAGTGGCGTGTTGCCCATATAACCTGGCAACCTGTCATTGTCTTGCCCATCCACAGGTGTTCCAGTTGTGATGAATATGGTTACACAGGAGAATGGAAGATACGTGAATAGTGATCCAACATTTCTGAATTCACAGTGCACTGACGACGATGCAGATGAAAATGTGAACCATGACACACTAACAGATTCAGATGAAGATGGTGGTGATCTCGTAAGTGGCAATGCTACATCCAACCACTACACTAAAGTTTATGAGCTCCCTGCGGGATTTGATGAGTCATGGAAGGGTTGTTCAACTTCTATTCGCTTCTTTGCAGATGGTGAATTCGAGGTTGGACAAGAGTTTGATCATAAGAAACAACTGATCAACATGGTTAGAGTGTACTCTGCAAAGAGGAACCAATTTTTCTTGGTTGTAGAGTTTGACAAACACAAATGGATGGCAGAGTGTAAGAGGGAAAAAGAATGTGGCTGCACTTGGTGGATCCAGGCTACTAAGAAACATGAGAAGCTAGAGATGTTCAAAGTTGTCCGTTATGCAGGTCCTCATATACGTACATGAATCCCTTTTATATTCTCGTATAGGGGTGCAAATGAGCCGAGCCGCTCGTGAGCAGCTCGGTCAAAGCTCGGATCGAGATCGGTCAAACTCGAGCTCGAGCCGAACTCGAGCCGGCTCGTTAAGCAGTCGAGCCAGAAACGAGCCTATTGATTTTAGGCTCGCTAGCTCGCGAGCCGGCTCGCGAGCCTAGTTATATGTATGTATATTTAATTAATATATGTAATATATTAATATACAATACAAATTAATATATAATACGGAGTATATGTTAGTATATGTAATATATAATATAAATTAGTTATATATATATATGTATATATATATATATATATAATACTGATTCATAAATGTATATGAGGACCGGGGAGATATTATTAATTATAAAGTAATTTAACAAAAATAATCAAAGTTTCATCCACTATTTCTTAATGGGTTGATCACTTTTGATTTATATTTGAAGTACAATTGGGTGGAGACTTGAAGTTAGAATTGTATTTTGTTTATTTTCCCGTAAGGTTTAGTTATTGGGCATGTAAATTGCAATTTGCAAATGTTAAGCACATATATTTAAAGATTGTTTCATACTTGAGCTCGAGTTCGAACACGAACTTTCGAGCTAATTGAACTTGTAACTTTTGAACGAACCAAAATTATCTAGCCGAACCGAGCCGAGTCAAGCCAAATCGAGCCGAATCAATATTTGCGAGCCGAGCTCGAGCCCGGATTTTTTAAGCTCGTTCGAGCCGAGCTCGAGCTCGAGCCAATACAATATAATTCGAGCTCGAGCTCGAGCCTACATAAACTCGGGCTCGGCTCGGCTCGTTTGCGCCCCTATTCTCGTACATTGCTGTGTGTTAGATGACTATTTGCTCATGTCACGCGCACGTCATCCGCTGCTGGATTAGGATACTATCGAGATGCTTTAGATCGCATGTGTGGTGATCAGGTATATCATTTATATCATTAAATGTAAGTACTTTGTTTTACGGTTTTATAAACCATGGTGTAACATTATTTTATATTATAAATGATGTGGATGTCGTACACTGATGAGATTCTAGGACTGTTGCCTCCTGCTGCCCGAGAGCACACTGAGATATGGCGAGCACGTGTGCCCTTGATATGTTTTGATGTAGTGGAGCATCACTTTCCCGATCGCGTACTACGACAGTTCAGGTTGTAGCAGGTTACTCCCGGACCTTGTGATACATCTGTGGACTTGCACAAGATTGATAGACGGGGGAAGCACGCTGAAGATTGGGGGATGCGCCATATTCAGCATATCAATGTGTGGAATGAGAGAGCGTCGTATATAGTGGACGGGACCCCATCATTAGTCCCCACAGCTTCTGTAGGGTACATGAGATGGTATTACACCATCACACAGGTGTTCATCTCTCCCAGTTTTCGCTTACCCACTAATCATTACCAGCCTAGCTCAGTCGTTCTTCATATGACGGTAAACAATATAGTCAACAAAATAGCTTTATTTATTGATTCATGTGTTTTTCACTAATAACCATGTTTGCATTATAGACACGAGCTTTGCGTAGCATCCATGACAGAGCGACTGCTGTATTTGATGACGCGACAGATGTACAAGGATACCATGACGCTTGTTTGTGCATTGTTGCACTGTGCGCTGATGTATTGGGCCAAGTGGATTATGGATATATGACCACCTCTCAACATTCCACCACATCTACATCCTCAGCAAGGTCTTCTCAGGCAGTCTGACATGATGAAGTTGTTCTTCAGCCTCATAACCAGCGCAAGCGCCCCCGAGCACAGCCACAACCACGTGACCTTCATGATGATGATGATCACGTTGACTTATGATCTTTGTATTTATATTATTGTGTGAAGTTTTAACATGCACTAGCAGACCGAATCATTTTGTGAAACACCAAATTTATTATAACTTTTATGTCTTATTTCACGTTTTGTGATGCAATGTAGTTTCACTGGTTTGTTTTGTGTTTCATATGTATTTTGTTTTAAAAAATCATATGTTTGGTTGTTTGTTTGAAGAGAATGGACTTGTGTTATTAACTGCGTTATTAACAATGGCAGGTTTGTAAAGCTGTGCAGTAGCAGGTTTACTTGTGCAGTAGCAGGATTACTAACTGTGCAATAACATGTATACACAAGAGCGACCACTTGGAGTGGCGATTTTTCTTAACCGTGGTTAACCCCAGCAGTATTTTTGGGAATTATTCTTAACCCGACAGTATTTGAGAAATTATTTATTTAATTAGTATTATTCTAGGAAAAAGCTCTCATCTAGACGACTCTAGACGAAAGATGTCTCTTAAAAGTTCCATTCATCCACAAAAACAAGAAAGAAGACAACACAAATTAATTTGAACCTAAAAATACTTAAATTGAAAAATAATTAATTAAGAAAAAATATAATAATAACGAAACGAAACAAGAAAAACCTCACCTTTTATTAATTGTGAATTTGTGATACAAATATTAGAAAAAATACAATAAACATAAATCGGGCTAATGAACTTAATCCCTAATTGCCAAACAAGCCATATCTGTCAAAAAGATCGGGTGCGCTTTGCTGATTGGACTTCTGATGGCGGGAAAAGCCTCCCACGATATGTGAGCTCAGATTTTGTGGTATTCCGTTTTCTACTCCTCTTCCCCGTCAGTGCACGTCTTCATGGAGAAATATTTGGTCCCAGTAGCTCCTGCTCAGCAAAACCCTAAAGCGCCTCGAAGGTGCTTTTAATTTTATTTTTTAATGCAAGAAAGACAATTTAGTTATCTCATCTTATCATTACTCAAAGCAAGCTTCTTTTTCTTTAATGTGCAAATTAGGCAGCCATGGCAGAAAGTTATGTTTGAATTGAATGGAAGAACCAATAGGAAATACCTCCACCTTGCTTCGGCTCTAATTGCGCAATCCTATTCTATGGTCAGTTATTGGAATTAATTGAAAATTTAATTTATTTTAATTACTGACCGTTCACCATTTTTCTTGTTTAAAGGTGGCGGGATTCCCTCACACATATCACAACAATGAAGTGCCATGTCCAACACATGTACACTTTACTTTTTTACCCTGCATTGCTCCTTTAGTTGTTGGTTTCGTTGGTCTAGCTTTGTGTATTGGCAATTGCTATGCTGCTAGACATGTATTTCAGATTAGGATGTAGAAAGATGGGATCACTCTTTGAAATTAATTTGGAATTTTTTATCTAGCACTCCAGGCACGAGTGCAAGATAGTAGTAGCTGTACAATTGATAAGTTGCTTTCATAAAATGCTCTTTTAAATTTGTTCTTTATTTAATATACAACAGATGAGCTGGTTTCAAGGTGGTACCTATAACCACAATCTAATTGGCAGGTATTTTGCTGTTTTTAATTTCCACCTTTCTATTTTTTGGTGTACATATCTGAAGTGTGTTCCCCTCTGGGTTTAATATGGATTCATGATTTGTAAAGTCTAAAGTAATGACACATAACCTGTATTGGCTACATAAATATAACAGCAGGATTCAAAATTGATTATGCGATCTCATCGTGCAACGGTGCAAGTTATGTTTTTTCTTCTGACTTTTAAATTGTACTTGATTGCTAGGCTCTGCATTTATTAGGAACTAAAAGCAACACTTACTCAACATGATTTTTTTTATCTTATCCCCTTTTCTTTTGAGAAAAGTCATCATTTTTTTACACTTAGGCACTTAGCCCCTGTCTTTTGGTACTGAATCTTTCAAACGGTGCACCCTTTGTTTTTATTAAATTACTCCTTTTCTGGAGATTTGAAGTCTTTTTTCTGGGTTCTGCATGTGTCTGCCTTGATGCTTCACATGTTGGCTGATAGCCTGATACAGACCCAAACTGCTTGATTTTTACTCCAACAAGAAGAAAGAAATCAAGATGAGAATAAAAACCAATCAAGTACCCAAGCTGTCGAGCATAGTTCAATGAATGGAGTAGAAAAATACGGACAGTCAATTGCATACTTATGATTCTTACTTTAGCTACAGTAAATAGACTTTAAAGTTTAAACAAAGGTCTTCATCTAGGAGACATGGCATCGAATAAGGTCTCATTATTCTTCAGGGAACTTCATCCTATTATTGATTATTGCTCTTTCCAACAGTCGCTCTTTTAAAATTTCCCATTGCTCTTCTTGTACAACTTGATCCTGCCACTTTACCGTTATTGCATCAGGTCTCCGAATTTGTTAATTTTCTAATGTTCTCTACACAGATTTGCCATAGTTATTTATTACAATGTTCTAAAAGGCGCTAGGCGCTAGTCGGGCGCCTAGTCGGGGACTAGTCGGAGACATAGAAATTGCATTTTTATCTATATTTTTGCATAAATATGATAAATAATATTGTATTTTTGTGTATAAAAAATACATATATACATATACATTAACAAACATGAAAGATAGAATTATCACATTTAATCATACGTAGTATATGATAACTAATCACTTAACTTCATTATGTTATAAATATAAATAATGATAAAATTTAGGTATATATACAAACATATATAGTTTTATCTTAATTTACAACTTCATTTCTTTATATTCATGGCTAAAGTTAAAGTATGTATATTGCTCGACAAATTAAAATTAAAAAATAAAGTAATGTTCGGCGAATCTAGGCGGCCTAAGCGGCCGATTAGGCGCTCTAGGCGGGCTACTAGGCGCCATAGGCGGCCAACTAATTCACCTAGATGGAAAACCAATTAGTCGGAGCACCTAGACTAAAATCGGGGCGCCCGACCACCGCCTAACGCCTAGGCGGGGACTACTCGGGCGCCTAGAACGATTTTTAGAACAGAGATTTATTATGCTTTATACAAGTTTTCATAATCATGTACATGTATTCTGTTTTCTGCATGCCCCACATGGCTACATCTTGTGTCACACATTAATGCTCCATTAAAAAATATAACTGATTTAACATCTGTTTTAAATTGCTTATATGAGATGCATCCTGTCTGTCCTGTTTTTTTTTTTTGCTTCCCCTTCACTATCTATTTACATTTTTTAATTTTATTTTTTCTGACAGTGAGGGCATATCTGCATTAGAATTTGATCGAAAGGTAATCATTGATTTATGTGAATCTAGACTATGGTTTGATGACTTGATCAATGTTTTATAAGCATGTATCATATGTGTAGTATGTTATATATATATATATATATATATAGGTTATGTATATAAATATATATGCACACACACATATAATGACATATATATCTATTATATTTAATTTTATATTTATGATGGGATAAAAAATAGAAATTCTTCTGTCTTCTTTTTTCTTTTCAAAGTGATCATAGCAAGTGGCTAAGCACACATGCATTTCTGTTTTTTTTTTCCTTCTGCATTGGTTGATGTTGGCTATGTATGAGGTTATATGATCACAAGTTTGGCTCATATTTCTAGGGATCTGATTTTGCTTTGAAGTCTAGATCCTTTGTTCAAAGACTTAATAACTATTGTCTGCAGGGGGTTTACCTGGCATCAGTAACAAAATCGGGTTGCTTAACGGTGCACGATTTTGAAGATCTATTTTACGAAGGTAAGAGAATTGTCATATAAGTTTCACAAAATTCTAAGGTCCGCATTAATATTTCATTTGCCTATTTCCTCTACTTTCCTTCAATTTTCCAGTCATTCCTTATTTAAAAAACTGTTAAGGGCGAAACTTTTTTCTGGTGCCCAGCCATGGTAATTTGGTACATATCAAGGAGTCCAATTTAGTATTAGTTCTGGGATTTATAAAAATAGGAAATGAATGAGCTAATCTAGCTGATTGGTTCTGATTAGTGATTGGCATGTATCATGGACCATTGTTAACCAGCATGAACTCCAACAACTCCAGTAGTCAGAATTGTATTTTATTTTGATCTGCAATTCTCTATCATTGCACCGATGGCACCTAATTGTTCTATTATAGTTCATGTCGATACCTCAACTCCCACATGTCTCTCTTTATACCTCAATAAAATGGGGTAACACCGTAACAGATCGGAAGAATCAACACTTAGCTGTTACAACTTACAACGTGAACTCTTCTACTTCATGCTCACACTCCTTACCATTTTTGGGCTGATGTTCTCACATGTTATTTAATATAAACTTTGAACTTCATGCCAATGCGACTGTCACTCTTCATGCTGATTATTGATTCTCTTATCTACTGGACCAGGGAAAGTATTTCCTTTAGGTTTTAAAGAAGATGAAGGAAAACTGTTGCTCCACATATCTACACTTAATCAACTTGATGTAGTTAGATGGAATATATGCAATCAAAATGAGGTTTGGCTTCCTTGAACGCATACTTCATGCTTTTTAAAGCTTCTGGTTTCCTACTATAGCTTTATAATAAAGTTTTTGAACATCTTAGCTTGATTAATCTGTACCATTGATGCAACAGTCCAATGTCTGTAAATTATTTTTATGCTGCTGAAAGAAATGATCTGATATTAGATAGTTTTTTTTTTCTAAAGTAAGTCATGAGTGTTTCAGCTGCAAATCTAAAATGTCAATTATTACCCTTGAAATTGATGATGATTTTTATAATGATGACATATAATTCCCTAAATTCAGGTTGCCTGTACATCTCTAAAGAGTTCTGAAGTACATATATATGACATTGGGTACATATCTTCTGAACCAATGGATGTAAGTTACATGTATTCTTCTTATTTTATGACATCTAATCTAAACTATTATAGTTCAGAAGTACTAAGCCCTTTCTTCTGATTATGAAATATATAGTCCAACTATTTCTCCCTCTGCACGACTGCACCATACTTTTCTCTGAAGAGAGTAGCAGGTCTATGCTTTGGTCTTGGTATGGGAAGTTATGTTACTTCATAGTGCCATTAAAACAAAACTAAGATAAACTTTGGTTATGACATATATAACACGTAAATATTAGACTCACATATTTAAATGGTGTATTTCTTCAGCATAATTTAATACTTTATTCTGTAGTATAGAACTTCAAATTTACACTTCCACTAAGATCTAGGCTGTTTTGTTTAAGTTTACATGAAATTCCAGTAACTTGATAATTTTTTGGTAGTGTTACTAATGTTTTTATGGTCTGTGCAGGTACTTAAAAAGAGGCCTACAATCAGCATCAATGGTTACACGACCCGGAAAGGTTTATCAGATATAGCTTTTTCTTCAAATAACAATTCAAGGTTGGCAAGATATTTCAAACCTTGAGTATGTTGATTGAGTGATAAGAGTCTTATGGAACAATCATTTATAGTGTGTTCCAAAAAGCTATAGGCTCCCTCTAGGTAGTAGACTGGTGCCCACCGCCTTTGCGAGCTTAGTTGTGTCTTTGTCAGGGCATAGGCTGAAAAAAGACGAGGTGGTCAAGAGAGTCCTAACGCCTAAGCAGGCTCTTAAGCAGAGCTAGGATCCGGAGTGTTTTTTAGAGCAGTGCCTAAAAGATTAGAAAGGAATAGATGGTAACACAAGCTAAAGTTCCTGATGGCATTTATATCTTTTTTAAGCAGAGAAGGCCTCCCACTGAATGTAGGGAAAACAGATTACCCAGGGGGCGTTGAATTCTTTTCTCCATTTAATTTGAAAATGGCAGTGGCTGCAGTTTCTGTGGTTGCCATAGTGGAGGTGGTTAACAGTAGTTTCAACTGTTAGAGAGTAAAGAGACAAGCTGATAAATAATTTAGAGAGATGTTTTATAAAACTGAAATTAAAATGAAGAAACAAACATGCAGAACTAGAAAGGAACATGAAATATCCGAAGGTATTCCCCAACAAGATTAGAGCACCCCCAATGCAACAACGTGCATGATGCATATATGTGGCATGAGAGAGATAGACACAAAAATACTATTTCCCACACTGGTAAAATATGAATGAATAAAATGCTATATTAAGATTTTGGGCTATATCTCCTATCAGGTTGACTTATAAGATTCAACTCTACAAACACACAACTCCCTTATGTCCCAATCTTAGAGGGACAGAGGAAATATTAATTATCCACCGTTGGACAACTGTGTCACATCTTCAATATATCTCTTTTGCAAGAGCCTTTTCTATGATATTTGATTATGGCATGAAGTTTGGGCTTGTTTGTAAAGATTTTTCAGTGTTGGCTGAATTTCTGAACAACCAAATGATCAGAGTTGTAAGAGGCATTTAGAATCTATTTTCATCTGCTAGCATATATTTCATTCATTGGAATGTGCATGTCAGTACATCTTATTTCAACATTTTATCAGCTTATATCATGAACAAGTTTCTAGCTAGACAGTTGAGTGGAACCTATTCCTCTAAGTAATCAATGCCTTGTGAGTTATGACATAGTGTGTACGTGTAGTCGCGTACTGCTGATTCAAGGCGCTTATAAAATTGACATTAGATATATGTACTATTAACTCAATCAACTTATAAGCGCTTTAACTTATAATCATCTAAAATGGCAGAAAGTAAAGTGGGCAGCCAGGTGTACATGCGTCTCCGTACAGCGAGGCTTGTCCCACCATAAGGGTGTGATATAGGCAGACTTTACCTTGCATTTGTGGAAGATGTTACTTCTAGGACATGAACCTCTGACTTAGGTCACACAGCAGTACTGGTTACACGGTTACACCTAAACCGGTGCACCAAGACTCCTGTTCACATATAAATTCAAACTTGACCCCAACAGGCCTTAAGAAGAAACTTGAAAGTGAGAGACACCCCATAATCCCATATTAAAAACAAGTGTATATTGTGTCTTTATTTGCTGAACTTGAGCAAAGTTCATTGTATTTCACCTTATGTTTCTTGGATCTTTTACAAAACGATGTTTATTGTCAGGCTGTTTGCTTCTGATTTCTCTGGTATGGTGAATGTATGGGATAGAAGAATGAGTCATTTTCCATGTCATGAGCTCAGAACCAATTGCAATGATGCCATTACTAGCATAAAACTTAATGCCGATAATCAGGTCAGTTTAGAGTCAGAACCTTGATAAATATTTTCTTACTATAATGGCAAAGTGTAATACAAATTACTTGATTATATTTTTTGCCCTTCTAATCTATAGGTTGTGTTTGGGGCCAGCAAGCATGGGTCTATATACATGTGGGACATACGCGGTGGAAGATCTGCTGCTGCTTTCCAGAACAACACTGTATTAATATTTTTATGCATATAATTTGATAACACTAGAAAATTGGTTTTTGTTCAAGTGTATATAGATGGTTAGATACATTTTACTCTAAATATATTTTGCTATGATAACAATGTTAAATTTGACACGACTGGGGCAATATAACAATTATATCAATCATTGTAAAGTGCATTCCTCATCCACCTAGCATTTAGCAACACATGTAAATATTATTCATGTCTGATTTCCAAATATTGAATTACATTACCATGTTTAAAGAATAATTTCAAAGAATGATTGCATTATCTTTGCAGATAGTTCCATTAAGTTTTACATAAGCAAAAATTTCACTTCTTGTTGGCCAAGTATTAGGCTATTCTTACATGTGGCTCCCGGCTTTCACCTTTTATGCGTTTAGTGCAAAACTATCAATTTTCTACCACCTGTTGTCCTCCTACTGTTCCATCATTTGCAATGGAGCCAAAAACTCACTATTTTTGGCTTGAGAATATGATGGAATAAAGCAAAATGGCTCACTAAACTGTCTGCGCTTCTTTGTTATGAAGTAGCAGTCAGTCTATATAATTTTGACGCGATTTTCACTATGGGTCATTTGGAAACAGTCTCTTTGTGCTTTAGTACAGGGGTAAGGCTCCGACCCCCCCTTACCTCACCGTAGGTGGGAGCCTTTGCGGCACTGGGGTAATGATGATGATGATGATGATGATGTTGTCCTCCTAGCTTATTATCTAGCCACTTGCTACGGGAAATACATCAAAATCTTCCCATGGTTTTTTTGTATGGAAAAGTTAAATTTAAAAGGGCCACATGCGAGAATGACCTAATACTTGAGGGACCTAAATTGTAATTCTTTCTATTACATGATGTTCAAAATTTTTGCTTGTTCAGGATTGTTGTTCTCCTCTGTTGTCTGTGAAGTTGGAAACAGAGTTTGGGAAAATTAAATCTTTGAAGGTATGTCTATCAGAATGATCATATCATATAGAAGATTAATAAATACTCAGATTAATCACATGGTTGTTCTCTCACTTATTTTTGAAGTTTAATCTGCTTTAAATATCGTAATAAATGCCTGCATTTGAGAATATCGTAATAAATGCCTGCATTTGAGAATCTTTTGTCAAGGAATAAGTGTGTTTCAGAATCCATAGGAAAAAAAGTACTTTACTCAAAAAATATGTTTGTGAGGAAAAAATTATTGCTTATTTATGAAAGCCACAAATTGGTGTTTTTTCAGAAAAACATGGTAAGTGCTTAAATGGGAAATTCCCTGCGATAAAATCACTTGTACAATAAGTTTTCACAAATATGCATAATTGCATGCAGAGATCGTGTTATGTTCCTCCAAGAATATTGTTGATAAATAGGGGCAGTTTGGAACCTGCATCTACAAAAAATAATCAGACTGTTCCAAATTAGCTAGCATTCGTGAGATCTGTGCTTGAAATTACCACCCCTTTTTCCATTCTTTCGATTACTAAAATAGTGCAACTTTAACAAACAACGCAACAGTTGCTGCTAGAATTTGCCTTTTTGTGGTTGATGAAAAGACCATAAAAGACCGCTTGAGGAATGAGATAATCAGACAAAAGGTGGGAGTAACACCTATAGAAGATAAGATGCATGAGACTCGTTTGCGGTGGTTTGGGCATGTGCGTAGAAGATTGAGTGATGCACCTGTTAGATGACTTGATGGGTGGGGAGAAGAGACAGAGAAGAGAGGGAGGGGAAGACCCAAACAAACTTGGATTAGAGGAATCAAAACTGATATGCGTCTTCTTGGGTTGGATGAGAGTATGACTTTGGAGAAGGCAAAGTGGAGGGCACACATTCGTGTGGACGATTGATCTCTTTTCTATCTTTCCTATCTCTTTTTCTTTTATCGTTTATCTTCATCTTTTTAGGTTCTTATGTTATTTTTATCTTCTAGCCTTTTTATGCTCTTTTATCTTTTTATCTTTATCTTTCTTATATTCTTATGTTATTGTTATCATATATTTATTTATCTTTATCTTATTCGTTTTATCTTTCTTTTTTCCTTCTTGTCTGTCTTCTCTTTTTGGCATCGATATCATGGATCGATTCATGTTAGTCGACCCCAAAATTTTTTGGGATTAAGGCTTGGATGTTGTTGTTGTTGTGGTTGATGAAACAACAATAAAGGCAAATTCTAACTTCACTCTTTACACAGTGGGTTGAAATTTCCATGACCTAAATCTTGCCTTGCGTTCCATCTGATTTCAGATACTAGTACATGACTGATGTTATATAGTAGATAAAAGGGCAGCCTGATGCACATTGGCGTTCATGCAAGGTGGGGGTCCGGACTCCAGAGAAGGGTCCTACTACATGGGTTTATAGGGGAAAGCCTTCCCTTGTCAATTTTGACAAGAGGTCAAGAGGTTGATCCCAAGACTTGAACTCGTGACCTCTCACAACAACAACATAACCGGTGTGCCAAGGCTCTATGATGTTATATAGCAGATCAAGAGAAAAATTATGTTTTCGTGAAAGATCATGTCGTCAATGTTTTATACCTACCCCTTGGTTCCTCTCAACTTGCGTATAATAGGTTTCATTTACTTGTAAAAACTACGATGCTTCATTTTCACTGATCCGTCTTTAATGTGCTATGCTATCCTACATCAACTCCCCTCAACATCCTATCTACAGATTCATCGTTACTTGCTCAGTTTTGTTCAACTGCATTGTTGATAGGGACTTTAATAATTCAAATAGAGGGGATAAATACTTTGGTAAAGTGTACTATAGGAGAAAATAAGGTCAGTTATTAGTTAAGTTTGTTAGTAGCTAATAACTACCGGTTGTTATCTTTTCTTACTATAAATAGCATACGACTGGGTATTGTAGAGGAGGCTGTTTTGACTTGTAATCTGGAGTGGGAAGATCAGAGTTGTATCTCTATCTTGTTGCCTAAGTAATAAAAGTTGCCTGGAGTTCTTGAATCAATTCTGTGATCTGATAGACTAGAATTGAAGGTTCTAACATTGGTATCAGAGACTGACGATCTTTGTGGATGGTTGTGACAAGAACGAAGATGGAAGCCAGAATGAATGAATTGGATGATAAGCTGGAAAGATCGCAACAACAAACTATGGAGATGTTACAAACCTTCAGGCGGCGATAGCAAGATTGGAAACGTGTGGTGAGAATCGATCGCGAATACCTGAAAATCGATCGCGAAGCAGGTCGCATACGTCTCACGCTTCACATCGTTCATTGCATCATCACTCAGTGCGATCTTCAGACAGTTCCGATGCATCGGAAGGTCAATTTGAGCTTTCTCCTCCGCGTCGACATCGACATCACCATCAGAGTCATAGGAAGGTTGACCTACCTTTATTCAATGGAGAAGACGCGTTTGGATGGCTTGTCAGAATCGATAGGTATTTTCGACTCAATAACATTGAAGAGGAAGATAAATGTGAGGTTGCAGTAGTCACAATGGAAGGTAAGGCCCTCAGATGGATCCAATGATGGGAGAAAGAAGCTAAGGGAAGGAATTGGGAAAAATTGAGGAAGACACTGATTCGTAGATTTCAACCAGAGTTAATTCAAAATCCTTTAGGGCCTCTGTTGAGTCTGAAACAAAAGAATTATGTATAGGAGTACAGAGAACAGTTTGAAACTGCTATTGCCTCTCAAGAAGATCTGGACATAAAAGTGATGAGAGGCATATTCTTGAATGGGTTAAAGAAGGAGATTAAGGCGGAACTGAAGATGTATAAGACCAAGAATCTGGAGAAAATCATGGATAAGGCACAGCTGATTGAGGATAAAAATGAAGAAATACTGTCCAGGAAGCAGAAGGAAGAAGTAAAAAGATCATGGAAGAGCCTTGGTAACAAGGGAAGTAATTTTCAGAAACCTGGGGATAGAATCAAGAGTAGTAGTAATCCTGTAATTACTCATACTTATGAGAGGAGTGCAGATGATAACAAAAGGGGGGACAGTGGTGAAGGCTCTAGTTCCAGAAAATTTGGCCCCAGATTATCACAAAATGAACTTATGGATAGGAGCAAAAAAGGGTTATGCTTCAAGTGTGGAGAGAACTGGAGCAGGGGACACGTTTGCACGATGAAAAACTTTCAATTGGTTTTGATGGAACAGTCTGAGGAAGAGCTAGAAACTGAAGCTAATTGCAGTTGTGTTGAAGGAGAAGATAAGATCCAACCTGAACTGAAATCTATGCAACTATCTGTACTCAGCAAGGGGGTATCCCTTCTATGAGAACCTTCAAGGTTCTGGGAAAATTGAAGTGGGCTATGGAGGAAAAGGAGGTCAAAACACTGATTGACAGTGGGGCCACCCACAACTTTATATCCCAGAGATTGGTGAACCAGTGGGACATACCTTTCAAACCTATAGAGGGGTATAAGGTGCAAATAGGTAATGGTGAAGTCATATACAACAAAGGCAGATGTATGGGAATCAAATTGATGGTGCAAGGAAATGAAATCAATGAAACCTTCTACATATTGGAACTAGGAGAAACTGATGTAGTTCTGGGATTAGACTAGCTCACTAAATTGGGAAATATGGAGGTAAATTTCCATGAACAGATCCTAAGGTGGAAGAATAAAGGACAAGAATGCAGTATTAAGGAGACATAAACCTTAATAAAATGGAAGTACCTTTAAAAACCATGACACAGATCATTCAGCAAATAGGGGATGGCTATTTGCTCTATTGTGAGATAAAACAACAAGAGCAGCTAGGGCAAGAACTGCAGCAAACTGGGAACAAAGACTGGGAGAAGATATTGAAGGAATTTCCAGAAGTATTCAAAGTTGAATTGGATTTTCCACCGGAGAGAGCCTGTGACTATTCCATCAATATCAAAGAGGGCTCCAACATCCCAAATCTAAGACCATACAGGTACTCCTATGATCAGAAAAATGAAATAGAAAGAATTGTTAAGGAAATGCTCAATTCTGGTATAATAAAGAACAGTAATAGCCCCTACAGTAGTCCCATTCTATTAGCTAGAAAAAAGGATGGAGGTTGCCGTTTCTGCGGGGATTACAGAGCATTAAATAAGATAACAGTGCCTGATAAGTTCCCAATTCCCGTAATTGAAGAGTTACTTGATGAGTTAGATGGGGCTAAAGTATTTTCCAAGTTAGATTTGAAATCTGGTTATCACCAGATCCGCATGAAAGCTGGGGATACACATAAAACTGCATTTAGGACGCATGAAGGGCATTACGAATATTTAGTAATGCCATTTGGGTTGACCAATGCACCATTTACCTTTCAAGCTCTAATGAATGAGGTTCTAAGACCTTTCCTAAGGAAGTTTGCATTAGTATTTTTTGATGACATACTAGTGTACAACAAAACTTTAGAGGAACACAAGGAACACTTAAAGCAGATCCAGAGGAACACAAGGAACACTTAAAGCAGATCCTCACAGCACTGAAGGAGAATAAGCTGGTGGCTAATAGGAAGAAGTGTTCTTTTGGTCAACAACAGTTGTCTTACCTAGGGCATATCATTTTTGAAAATGGGGTATCTGCAGATCCAAGCAAAATAGAAGCCATGAAGGGTTGGAAGGAACCACAAGATTTAAAGGGTTTGCGAGGTTTTATGGGGTTGACTGACTACTATAGGAGATTTGTCAAAGGGTACAGCAAAATTGCTGCTGCATTAACTCAATTATTGAAGAAGGATGGATTCAGATGGGATGAAGAGGCTAGAAGAGCATTTGAAGAGTTGAAATTGACCATGACCACTCTACCAGTACTAAGAACCCCTGATTTCAGTAAGACCTTTACTGTGGAAACTGATGCTTCCGGTAAGGGTGTGGGTGTTGTATTGATGCAGGAAGGCCCATAGCCTATATGAGTAAAGAAATAGCTGCCAAACACCAAATGAAGTCCGTCTATGAGAAAGAACTTATGGCAATAGTTTTTGCTATCCAAAAATGGAGACCCTACCTTTTAGGTAGATAGTTTGAGGTGATAACAGACCAAAGGAGCCTAAAATACCTTACTGAGCAAAGGATTATGGGAGAGGATCAACAGAAATGGATCACTAAGCTGATGGGTTATAATTTTGTGATCAAGTACAGACCAGGAATGGAGAATGGTGCAGCTGATGCTCTTTCTAGGAAGATGACTATGTTTTCCTTATCCATAGTGACTTGTCAAGAGTGGAAGGGGCTGGAGCAAGAATTAGAGAAGGTTCATGGTGTGGTGGTATCATTCAGAAGGTTTTAACTCAACCAGACAAGGTGAGGAATTTTATGATCAAAGGTGGATTGCTATATTTCAAAGGAAGGTTGGTAATACCAAAAGGGTCTGCCAGAATTGCAAAGATATTAAAAGAGTATCATGAATCAGCATTGGGATGACATTCAGGGCATTTCAGGACAATGAAAAGGATATCCAATCTATTCTACTGGGTGGGGATGAGATCTGAAGCTCAAAGATTTGTTCAAGGATGTGACACATGTCAGAGGAACAAATACCAGGCTTTAAAACCTGCAGGTTTATTACAGCCTTTACCTATACCTACTCATACTTGGACTGATATCAGTATGGATTTTGTAGGAGGTTTACCTAAATCTTTTGGAAAAGATACCATCTTGGTAGTGGTTGACCGGTTATCAAAATTTGCTCATTTTTTACCTCTATCCCATCCCTACAATGCTAAGGAAGTTGTTGAGTTGTTTATGAGAGAAGTAGTGAAAATACATGGATTTCCCAGATCCATAGTAAGTGATAGAGACAGCCTCTTCTTGAGCACATTCTGGTCAGAATTATTCAAGGCAGCAGGTACTACACTGGAGTATAGTACTGCATATCATCCTCAAAGTGATGGACAAACGGAAGTAATCAACCGTTGTTTAGAGACTTACTTAAGATGCATGACTGGCAAGAAACTCGAGCAGTGGGTTAAATGGTTGCCATGGACAGAACTATGGTACAACACAAATTATCATATATCCTTACAAGACACTCCTTATAAGGCACTATATGGTCAAGACCCACCTGTAATTACCAGGGGAGATGTCAGCCTATCAGCTGTGGAGGAAGTATCAAAATTGACAGCAGAAAGAAATGAAGTGTTGAAAGAATTGAAAGAACATTTAACTCAGGCTCAAAATTTAATGAAGCAACAAGCTGACAGACATAGAAGAGAGTTGAAGTTGCAGGTTGGTGACAGAGTGTATTTAAACTGATACAGCCGTACAAGATGAGGAGTCTAGCCAGGAGAATTAATCAAAAATTGAGTCCCAGGTTCTATGGACCCTTTGAGATCCTAGAAGAAATAAATCCTGTGGCTTTCAAACTGCAGCTACCTATAGGGTGCAGGATCCATCCAGTCTTTCATATATCCCTTTTGAAGAAGGAGTTGAAACCTGCAAGCTTTTGCCAAGATCTTCCTAAATGTTTGACTGAGGATTGTGAACTATTGGTGTGGCCTGAGGAAGTGAAGGGTGTTAGAAGAAATTCAGCCGGAGAAAAGGAAGTTTTGATACATTGGAGAGATCTTCCGGAGTTTGAAGATTCATGGGAGACAGAACATAACATCAAACAACAATTTCCTACTTTCCAACTTGAGGGCAAGTTGGATTTTTAGGAGGGAAGAATTGATAGGGACTTTAATAATTCGAATAGAGGGGATAAATACTTTGGTAAAGTGTACTATAGGAGAAAATAAGGTCGGTTATTAGTTAAGTTTGTTAGTAGCTAATAACTACCGTTTGTTATCTTTTCTTACTATAAATAGCATACGACTGGGTATGGTAGAGGAGGCTGTTTTGACTTGTAATCTGGAGTGGGAAGATCAGAGTTGTATCTCTATCTTGTTGCCTAAGTAATAAAAGTTGCCTTGAGTTCTTGAATCAAATCTGTGATCTGTTAGAATAGAATTGCAGGTTCTAACAATTGTTCTCTTATATCTACCCTTTCCTCTAATTGGTGGATCAATATTAGTAGGCTATTGATCAATTTTTGCATAATGTAATGCACTGCTTATAGGATCAATTATGCCTTCTGCCTTCATTTAGGAGATTGTTGGACATATAGCTAAAGTGGAGCTGCTGGTTTAATTCTTCCAGTCTAATATATAGCTGTTCAATCCACACGGTTATTATGTGGCAAGGACAAGAGAAAAGCTTAAGAGAAATAGTGATGTTTATTGCATATGATCATACGGTTTGTATAGCATATCAAGCATGTCCATCTGAAGAGGATGAAAGACCCTATAGATAAGACATAGATAACCATTATAAGAGGAAACAGCAGAATAGGTGCCCTATGTTCGATGCTATTTTTCTCGATTAGGTCACTACTATACATTAATACACATTAGGCAAAGTATCTTAAACGTTCTCTGAGACCTATTGAAATATCACTTGGACCTCCTTACTCCTTCAGAACGAGGCACTTTCCCAGGTTTAAGAAATATCAGAAACCTCACTAACGCTAGATAAAAGTTAGAATAACTGTCCTTAACTGATTTATTAAATAATATAGTAACTTCATGTAAAAGAAATAGAAATATTATAAATTAAAATATAAGAATAAATAAATACCTTTTTTTACGTTCACCATTTTTTAAGCTTATTCAATTTAAAAGTATTTAAATAAAGAATATACTCCCTCCGTTTCAAAATAAACCTCACAGTTTGACTTTTGCGGTCTCCTAGGCGGACGTTTGACCGTAATTTCCTATTAATATATGCATATAAAATCTATAATAAATTGACATTTGAAAAATACATATTACAATGAAGCACATTATATAATTTTTTTGGGATAAAATATTATTAATTTTGAGTAATAAGCGGTCAAAGTTTAACAAGTTTGACCCAAAAAGTTTGACTGTGAGGTTTATTTTGAAACGGAGGGAGTATGATGTTATAATTATAATTATTATTATTATTAAAACTGCAAATGGATGTTGATATGAATTTAATGATTAGTTCAATATCAATAGTAATAACAATAAGCACAACAACACTTATCCACATTATTGATGTATGGTATCACCGTATCAGAGTTCCAAATATGAACTTTAAAATGAATGTTGATTTAGTATTTTAAATAACTTTCAAAACCAGTGACCATTAAACCACCATATTGTGTCCTCATGTTTGTAACTTATTCACTTTAAATACGTCAATGATCTTGAAAAGTATCTAAAACACTAAATTTGTATGTATCAATGACTTTTCTAACAATTGTTAATTACTACTACTATTGCACAAATCATCGAGTTTATGTCACTGGTAGTAGGATGACCTGTCTCCTGATTTGGGCTTGGCCATGAATTGGGGTGGCTAGTGGGATGACCTGCCTGCTGGCTGGCAGTGGTCTGTTTTGATGACACAAGTAGAGTGTTGATGAGATCAGACCCAGGATTGCCTGGTTGTAGTGCTCGACTGCATCCAGAACAGACCCAGGATTGCCTGGAGTAATCAGGGCTGAAACTCACTCCATTGAGTTTCAAACCCTTATGCGCCTAGCGGGTTTCGAACACGAGACCTCCCACTAGGCACGGTAACCTCACAACCAGCTGAGCAGGAATGCTTGGTTTATCTCTCTAGAATCAATAAAAGCACTGTGCTTTCTGTATCTAGCTCTTAGCTGTTTGGATGTTCTTAGCTGAAGACCAAGAGGACCACATGAATACATAAGATCCTTTTTTGTGAATAAGACTATACATGTTTTTTAAAACAACTTCTGAGTAGTGAGTATATCCTGGGTGCATATAAGTAGTACTTTAACTTCAAAAAGAAAAAAAAGCTGACTTTTTGCTTTATTTTGTATGGCCATTTCTATTAATGACTTTCATCTTAACACTAAATTGCAGGCTCAGTCTAATGTTCGCATGAAGGAAATACACTCCATTGACATTAATCCATCTTGCCAATATCAATTGGCATTTCATCTTGATGATGCTTGGTATGTTTGAAAAGAAATACAAAGTATATAAATTCGCAAAATCACATAAAAGATCTCTCTAAGGCCATTTTTCATCTCCTTCAGAACTTGGATCTTCAGCTCTGACTTTCAATTAATTGATCTTTGGGATAAACAAACATGTAATGTCCTAGATTTACTTTGTGGTCTTCAATTTTTTCCGTTAAATTTACTTAAAATCTCAGACATGTACTGTAATAATTTAAATCAAAATATCAAAATATAAAAGTATAACAGATATTGGTATGGTATGGATGGTAGACTCACTGTTCTTGAGCCCATTTAATTTTTCATAGGATGTGATGTCTCAGAATATATAAAATTTGTCAACTATGAAGTAATGGTATCCTCACATTTTCTTAAAGAAGTAGATATAATCTAAAAATGTTATTTCATTCATATGGGAACATTAGATAAAATTTTGGGAGGAACACTAGCTAATGTCTGACATTCTGTGAATCCTTAATATACTCAATTGATATATGCTAATGCATTTTACTAGGCTTCTCTTCTGGCTTCTTTCACAGGTCTGGTGTTTTTGATACCAACTGTATGAAGGTAACACATGTGCATTGCCCCCCTCCAGCTTGGTTACGGTATGATAGATGCTTCATTCTTGAATTGACCTAAACTGAAAACAATTTTCTTGCTTCTTACGGATTTCTGTTAGTTTGAACTAGAGATAACATTGATGGATTGGGAAACCTTGGCCACCTACGAAAGCCTTCATGGCTGCCTTCTTATTCGGTAAGATGCTATAGCCTCTGATACATTTTATCCTGATGGTTTTATATACCTTTGAGCTCTGTTCGATTTGTGTTTTTTAATTCAGTAAAATGAGTTAGAAAGAAAAAATAAGTAGGATGTGTAACGTCTAATATCTGTTTGATCAGTAGTTAAGATACAGAGTTATCTAGACCATTGGTGCTTAGCTTTGTTTTCAGTTATGATAAACTAATTGTATTGATGAAAACGGTTACCCTTTAGCAGTTTTGGATGCCTATAGCCAGTGGTGGAGCTAGAAAAACGATTCGGGAGGGGGGTCGAAGCTTAACTAAATACAAAATAGGAAGAGTGGATCATCTTTAAACAATACCCAAGTATTGTTTGACCATTATTGTATATGCGGTGCAATTTTATATCAATATTTTTTTTAATAGTTCCAAATTTCATAAAAAATATTAAAACAAATTGGTCTAGAGTACTTTCATGTTTTCAAATAATACTTCATCGCCATCATCATTCATCATCATTACCCCGGTGCCGCAAAGGCTCCACACCTTCGGTGGGGTAAGGGGGGTCGGATGTACGCAGTCTTACCCCAGTACTAAAGCACAGACCGACTGTTTCCGGATGACCCATAGTGAAAATTGCGTCGAAAATTGCATGGACTGACTGCTGCTTCATAACAAAGAAGCGCAAACAGTTTAGTAAGCCATTTTGCTTTATTTCATCATATTCCAAGCCAAAAAATATTGAGTCTTTGGCTCCATTGCAAATGATGGAAAACATGTTTTCAAATAATACTATGAATGAAAATTAGTGGTAAAATATCGTGACGTTTGACTTGAAAAGTCAAACTGTAACCTTCATTTGAGATGGAGGGAGTTTGTTGGTCCCGTTTAAGTAGGGAACAGTCTAGAGGGGGGTGAATAGATTGTTCTGATTTTTCAAACTTTTCTAATAGTCTATACTGACTTATCAGAGAAGGTCGGAATCTGGTGATAGAGAAGGTCGAGTTCTTATGTTAAAACTGGACCTGGCAGCGGATAAGAGTTCTGTCTGTGTAGCCTCAGGAAAATGCTAAGGCAAATGCCTTTCTATTAACTCTTAGACCAAGATCTGCTAAACACAGATTCCAAGTTCTTAAGAGTTTCACAGTTAAAATCCTAGGAGCAGAAATTAAATGCTGAAAATAAATGAAACCGGGGTTTTTATAGTGGTTCAAGGAACAACTTGTTCCTCTAGTCCACTGTTCCACTAAGTTTGTAATAAACCAATTACAACACTTAAGTCCTAGCACTTAAGAAGCTCTCCACGTCTTCTTCAAGTGTAGATGTCTCCTGGTATGCACTTCCTTGCTTTCTTTAAGACTGGTCTTGTTTCACCGAGTCTCCTTGAAGTATCACCACTTCACTACTCCAGCTACTTTAAGACTTCCTTCTTTGCAGAAGATATTCTGTAGAAAAACAGAGTTTTTCTCCAACTTGCTTCGTCACAAAAGATTTGTAAATGAAGTGCTTGAAGTTGTTGAAGAACTGGGGTGGAACTTTGCTCTGAGTTGGAAGGAGGGATAGGAGTATAATATCTTTCCAACGTAAACTTTTCTTGCTTTTGAGGAAGAAAATGTTAAGATCTCAAGAAAGCTTTGAAGGTGTGAGCAAAAGTTATCCTGTAGTTCTTTGAAGTGTATCTTTTATACTGGAGTTGTCTTCCCGTTGGAGGAGGAGACAACTGCATTGAAAGCGCGTACTGTGGAGTTGACAGGTTGGACCCACAAGTTTGGTAGCTTGCTATTTTTGTATAATATTCTCCAGGAATCTCGGTCAATCATCTGCAATTACTTCACAGCGTATCAGGCTCATTAAATGAGCATTAAATGCTTTCCTTTTTCTTTTCAGGGAAAGTCTTCTAGTCGTTAGGGTATTTCCCGTTAGTTTCACGGTCGTTGGAGGTACCTTCGTGGCTAGTCCTGATGGCAGCTCTGGTGTCGGACTCTGGTGCTTCTTTGAGGAGTAGCTCTGGTAGCAGCTCTTGATCACAAAGACCAAGGGGTCTCTGGCCAGTCGACTATGCTAATACTTGCAAAGAAAAATTCTAATACAAGATTTCTAAAGGGGTACACCAATATTCTAATTGACCTAGCATCATCAAAATCTAAATACATTTATTCCTTACAGAGTTCCTTTTTAATTATGTGTGATAAAGTTAAAATCAGGGAATGGATTAGAAACCACCAGCAAACAATGCTAAATATATCCAATCACCACCCATCCCATGTGCCGTCATGAGTTCCGGCATCAACCACCAAATTTCCTCGCAATCTTTTGCAGTGATTTTTACAGATCGGATCGTTATCCACTGGCGACCATATAATGTTAGTTCCATGTGTTGCTTGCAACCATGATGGGTAGTTAAGCTCTTTAGTCCCTCTGCTGAAACCTATCTAATCAAACAATCCCTTCTTAACAACCCTCTTCTTTCTACATGCTATGAATCTTGCAAAATGCGATCTTATATAATTGAACCTGGTGTACAGACAATGAAAGTATTTGATATATAAAGTTTAATTTTCATTTGATGAGGGAGAAGATCATGTCAGGGTGCATTGTAACTTAAATACATTAATTCGGTTGATCAATTGGCTCATGTCTTTACTAAGTTTCTTTTCGTTCCTAGAATAAAATATATTTGTAACAAGCTAGTGTCAATATGCTTTATGCTTATATGCTCAAGCTTGTGTGGAGTCTTGAATGTATTGTATCCCCAAGCCCAGCGTTTGAGTGTTTCCCTAGTTAGCATGGCCCCGCCTAGCACTTCTGATGTTCTCTACTTGTATCATACAGGCATAGTGTACATGCTTTTACACCGAATATACTATACCTTTCAATACTTATATCCTATACCTCTCAATACTTCATACTAGCGAGCAGTGATTGTTGACTTGTTGATAGTTGATGTGTTTGAAAGTGCTGGTAGATGTGGTTAGTTGTTGAAATAGATGACGATGATGGCGGTATGGCGGCGCTGGTGAGTTTAATGTTGACAGTGGTTGTCGCCTTGTCAGAACCGAGTAGCCGTTGGTTATGTTGGTTGCTTTTTTGACAGTGGCTGCAGGCAGTGGCAATTGGTGGTGGTGGTTTCTACTATTTGCTGAGATTGCTGCCAATGGTGGTAGTTTCCTACTTTCCTGCAGTGGTTCTCATTGTTGTTAATGGCATTCGTGGTCTCCAATCCCAAAAGAGTTTGGGTTCGGCTAACATGAATAGATATATGATATGAGAGTTCAAAACAATAAATAGAGAGGGCTGGGAGACAAGATCAATCCTCCACAATTGTACTCTCACTTAACTTCGCCCTCTCCAAAGTCACTCTTATCTAAGATATTATGGTATCATTCTTAACCACTTTAATCCACATCTTTCTAGATCATCCCCTCCCTCTCCTTCCTCCCTTCTCTCCACACCTCTCAATCCGTTAACAAGCGCATCACTCGGTCTTCAACACATGACTAAACCACTACAACTGAGACTCTCACAGCTTATCTTCAATAAGTGCTACTCTCAGTCTCTGACTTTTCGCTTGATTGTCTCACTCCTCAAGTGGTTATTCTGCTTAAGGAATTTATAACTAATGCTGACTAGTTATAAATCATTTGCAATGGAGCCAAAGATTCATTATTTTTTGGCTTGAGAATGTGATGGAATAAAGCAAAATGGCTCTAAACTGTCTGCGCTTCTTTGTTATGAAGCAGCAGTCAGTCCATGCAATTTGGATGCGTTTTTCACTATGGGTCATCCGGAAACAGTCTCTCTGTGCTTTAGTACAGGGTAAGACTGCGTACATCTGACCCCCCCTTACCCCACCGTAGGTCGGAGCCTTTGCGGCACTGTGGTAAATGAAATGATTGAAAAATATATGTATGTTTCCCAATATAGGTGGAAAGAGACAATTTAGGGTTAGCTCAGTAACCTTTTTAGCTTTTTTTTACCAGGTAACCTTTTTAGCTTGAAAACTAAAAACTATATCATGAAATCAAGGGATGTGCTTCACAGTTGAGGGTGATGGGTAAATTGTAAAAGAGGGCCAAACATGTAAAAATAGATGTGTACTGAAAATTTTGAAATGGCGTTTGTTCATTATCTCTATGACAAAGATACATCATCATTATTCATCATATTACCCCAGTGCTGCAAAGGCTCTCACCTATGGTGGGGTAAGGAGGGGTCGGATGTACGCAACCTTATCCCTGTACTAAAGCACAGGGAGACTGTTTCCAGATGACCCATGGTGAAAATCGCGTCGAAAATTGCATGGACTGACTGCTGTTCCATAACAAAGGATAGACAGTTTAGAGAACCATTTTGCTTTATTCCATTATATTCCCAAGCCAAAAATAGGTAAACTTTGGCTCCATTGCAAATGATGGAAATATGTATGACGAAGATACACTATTGAAAAAAAGGACACTAGTTGAAACACTAAATATTTTAGTAAGTTCAATAATTAGGTCGCAAATGTACCAAATATTACATATGTGTTCAATGATACTTGATGTGGCAAGATGCTTCAGACATACAATTAGGGCCACGAAAAAGGGCAGGAGTGTTTAAATTTCACATGGTAATAGAAGAATATATCATCTGTACAGAACCCTGCCACAGTTTGGAAAAGGAGGTGTATGTACTTCATACATTAACACAGACACATAATATTATCTTCCATGCCCGCCACTTACTATTTGCGATTAATAATTTAGCTAATTATGTAATTGGTTTCACCTCAAGATGGAATCTTAGTTTCTTGAGGTGGTTGTCCTGTCTGTGTTTATGATTTCCAACCACTATCAATTTCAGTATGGACTCTATTCAGCTACAATTTGCTGGAATTATGGTTTGTATTAGTGTTTCATTGAAGTACAAGTTCACTGAGCTTAATTTGTTTAGTACTTCTAAATCCAGATCTATGCAGTTGGATCAGATGATGGACTTCACCTTTTGGATTTCTACCCGGACTGTAGCTCCCCATGCCATGTAGATTTTGAGTATGAACTTCTAAATCTTTTGCACATCAGTATTGGTCGCAAACCCTCATAGGTTTTTACTTTGTTCTATTATACTCCATACTACAATCAAGTTCCCATTTGACCAACATAGATATTAATGCACGTCTTTTGGTTTTGCCTTTCCAAGTATAGCTTTGTTTTATGTAAAAGATCTAAATAAAAGTAAACAAAATGTAAGGGCGGTAACTTTGTTCAAAAAAGCAGAAGTCTTCTTGTACTTGGTCGAGTTGGCAATTCAAAATATTCATCTAGATTCCTAATTCTCGTACATTTGCAAAATCCTTTGAAAGAACTCTGTACTTTTGTGCCTCTCTCATTTGAAGCCACACATGAATGCATATCCTCAAGGCACAGCTTGTTGTGTTAGGAAAAAAACTGACAGTTATCATCTCGAAATTGGACTAATGCTTGTGATGACTATGTCTATTATAGTGAGGAGATAGAAGGCATAAGCCAAGTACAAAATCAACACAGACGAAATGAATTTATCTCATTAAGAGAAGGGGTTACGGCATGCACAGTTCATCCCATAACCAGCACCATAGTAGCTGGAACGAAGGTCAGTTTTTACAGCATATAGGCAAGTATTCTTTTTACATGTTTCTGAGGGTTTTTTCCCTCTTTGCGTGACATCATTTTTTAATTATCAATCAATTCAGCTGTCGTCACTCCTAGTTATATCCCAAGCACCAGTCTCATGTCAAGGTGATGACGATTGTCAACGCTGCAATGTGAATGTCCCAAAGGTCCTTGAGCATGCTGCCATTGATGCATCCTGAAAATATGATTTATTAATGGTCTCCAGTCTAGTAGTTGTCCGAGAACAATACATCGACTCCTCTAGCCTCTAGGGATAAAGATTTTTAACAACACCACAAAGCAAAACACACCATCTGTTACGAGGGTAAAATGCATAAGTAGTGTGATAGAGTTGTATTTTTATTATTTATTATTTCTACTTTAACTAGTTTTATTTGTTGTTGTTTGGAAAATTACACACTTTTGGTGTAATTAGTTTATTTTCCTATATAAATGTAATTTGTTTAGATTAGGATTATTCTGAGCTTAAAACAGGTCAAGATCATCCAAAGGATCAAGATTGGACCCCAAAAGATCAAGGAAAGTGCAAGGGGACAAGATAAAAAGAAGATTGAGAAAATATTTCATATACCCGGTCGGGTATAGGCAATACCCGATCGGGTATTGAGTTGATTCGGGTGTCAAAATCAGAATCTGGAGAGACAAAAAAACGTGCAGGATTTTGAAGATTTGGCTCATACCCGATCGGGTATGCCTTCATACCCGATAGGGTATGTCTAGAAAAGTGATTTTCCGGGAAACTGCCTAAAATACCCGATCGAGTACCCTATATACCCGGTCGGGTACACCACCCGCCTACCTCCAAACACCTATAAATACACCCCTTTTCCTTCACAATGAAAGCATCCCTTCTTCCATACTCTTAAGCTCAGTTTAGAATAGTATTTCTTTTATATTTTTATAGTATGTTTAGTCTCCAAATGAGGAGCTAAACTTCCATTTCTTGGTGTTGCTCTTGAAGCTTGTTGATTATTAAAGTTGTGAGTTATTTTCTTAACTTCTTCCCTTGAATATTAATTATTTTCTTAATCTATCTATATATTAGTGTTGGGGAGTGTTGCTAAGATGACAATTAGTTAACATCTCGACATTAGTTATAGTAGTATTTATTTTCTTCCTCTATATATTAATGTTGGGGAGTGTTACTAAGATGACAATTAGATAACATATTGACATTAGTTATAGTAGGATTATTCATATTTAATCTTCTTCCTTGAATATTAATTCTTCCCTTAATCTATCTCTATGTTAATGTTGGGGAGTGTTGCCAAGATGACAATTAGTTAACATCTCAATATTAATTACTACTAGAAACGTTCAACGAACCGATGGTTAATCGTTGATGGTTTCACAAGAAAGTAACTTCGGTTTATTAATGCACGGTCGTGGTTAATAAACTTAAGAGGGATTAATTTTGTTGGTTAAACCGAAACCGTTGTGTTGAGGTTATCAATCTCAATTGATTTCATCAAGGAGTTAAGAGATTAAATGCTACTATCAAGTCGGTATATGGCGGTGTTCTATACTTGACTAATAGTAAGAGTTATTAATGAACGGTCGTTGTTAATAACTACCCTCGATGAATTGGATATACTTCTCGATTGAGTATTCGAGAGGGGATAAGTTATAGATATAACAATGATCAACTAAAATATATCAACAAGTGGAAAGTAGCAATGCCAAGTCCTTTTTATCTTTGAATTAAATCTCATATAAGTCCTTCATCTTAGTATTTAATTAATTAAATTCCAACAATACCAAAACTCCCCTTTTATTTACTAGTTCATAAAAAGAGAATTATTCCTTTCCCTGTGGATACGAACTCTACTTCACTATACTACGTATTAGTGCTAGTATTGAATTTATTTTGACGCACCGTGACAAAGTGTCCGTCATAGTGGTTCATTTACAAAGGGAAGACACAGACACACAGTAGTGTTATTACATCAAGTAAAGTTTTGGATGTGACATGTAAGACTAGCATAGTATGTTTGTGGTATAAAGCGTTGGTACTCTTGGTTCCATTATATGTTGGGCTGCATGCAAACTGTTTCATGCTAGATTTGCAATATATACCACTACGAGTCGACAAGATCCCGGAACCAGACTAGGACGGCCGGTTTTTTACTGGGGCAGAGAATTATGATAAAAATTAAAAACAGACCATAATGCACAATTAGAGGTCGTTTGGTAATACTGGTTTTTGGCTTATCAGGTATTTCAGTAAATTTTTTCACCAAATACGTAACTTTTGCTTTCACGCGCTGAATTATGTAATAAACATAAAAAGTAAGGTTGAAGTTACTTTTCTGGCTGTATTGGCTGAAGTTACTGTAGATGACAACTTTAGCTATTTTTACATATAATTTTTTTCTTTATTTCATTAATAAAATATATTTTAAAAATAATTTTTTTCTTAAATCAGCAGAATCAGTCAATGTAGCCAATTCAACCAGAACTTCATAAATTTCAGCAGAATCAGCCAAAGCAGCTGATTTTCGTGCTACCAAACGGGCTCTTAATATAAAAGAAAATGCTTAAAAATTTGAAGTTGAAATGATCAGTAATGCAACTCAATAACTCACTCATTTAGGCAAAATATTATTACAAAAGTGAAAATAGTTTTAAGCATCATTCTCTTACTTAAAAGTTAAAACATTTAGTTTTGAAATGGTCAAAATTAAGAAACAATGCTTTTAAAGACTTTATTTTTACTTTTCTATGGTCAAAAGTAGAAAGGGGGCTTGGTCAACTGCCTTTGCATGCTAAAATATTGACCAACTCAGCCTTGCGACCTGCGAGCTAGCTTGCAACACACTGACACACACATATGACATATATGTGAGCATATCTTTAGAGTGCTAGCCCAACTACATCTAACTATATCAAATGACGTCGTAAATGGCGTTTCCCGGTGAGTCCATAGCGGAGCTGGTGCTCGAAATAGCTGAGAACTGCCGCATTCTCAAGTGCACCATCTCAGCCTGCGCAATGGCCAACTGTGTTTGGAGTTGGTCAATTTGTTCTTGAAGGCATGAAATGGCTGCTACACAACCGTAGACAGGATCTCTAACCCTAGCATTTGCCTCATACACCATTGAATTCACTGCATCGCTTCGCCAATGCTTTGGTAATTCCTAAATGGAGTGTCCCAAATCACAATTGCATGTCAGTATATTAGTGGTGAATAACTTAAAGGAATCAATGTGCTGATTTAGTCCCATAAATTCTATCTTCATTTGTTATTAGTCACACAATTTTACCTTCATGCAGGGGCGGAGCCAGAATCTAGTGTCAGTAGTGTCAATTTATAAAAGATTATCTATGCTATAAATAGATTTTTTATTTTACAGTGGTGTCAATTTAATTTTTTTTAAAAATATACCTATATATGGAAGAATAAATATTAAGTGGTGTCAATTGACACCACACCTCAAAGGGTGCATGGCTCCGCCTAGTCATGGACCCGGTTCGGGCCGCCCGGCCCGGGACCGGCCCTGCCCGCTACTGTGCGGGACCGGAACCGGCCCGGTTCTCGGGTCCGGGTCGGGCCTAGGCCCGGTGGGGGGGGGGGGGGCTCGGGCCTTGTATTTGGCGAACCGGCCGGGTCGGGCCCGGGCCTAATTGATTTTTTTTTTTTCATTTTTTGGGATACACCCGGGTTGGGCTTGATGGTTAGGAGGGGTTTTGGGGGGGGTGGGGGGGTGAGGGGGGGGAGTTAGGAAAGCAAAAAAAAAAAAAAAAAAAAAAAACGGAGGCCCGGACCCAGGCCTTCCTTCTCCAAAAAAAAGCCCGGTTGGGCCCGGCCCGACCCGGGTCCATGACTACATGCATATCATATCGGCAATTAATACTTTTATTTGTCCCACATCAAGGACTTTCATGATATAATAATGTACTACTGATCTGATATAGTTAGATGCATATCATATCGGCAACTAATACATTTTTTTTTACTAAGACGTTTAGATATCTAACTTTTATTTGTCCTACATCTAACTACGTAGTATAATTTATGCCAAAATAATACACCAAACTTGGTATGTTCTGACGGAAAACTCCTTGAGTCCTTGATGCAAACAAATTGATTAGTTACAACTTACAAGACATATTCGATCGGTAAGTAAAAGTAGGGCATTGATAATGAATCTAACACCATTAAAGTTGCATTGTGTATGTCTTTAAAGCCCCCCCCCCACCCTCAAAATTGTCTTCACAACATATCACACATGAACACGTAAATATAAGTAGATATATTGATTACCTTTTACTCCTTCATCATGTAATATTTATAATAAAAACTGAAATTTTTGTTATTTCCTTAATATCCAAATTAGTTGTATTGGTTGATTTTGCTTCAATTTATGAAGTTCTGGTTGAAACGGCTGGATTGGCTGATTTATGAAAAAATTATATTTAAAATATATTTATTAATAAAATAAAGAAAATGTTGTATGAAAAACAACTAAAATGATCATCTACAGTAAATTCAGCCAATACATCCAGAAAAGTAATTCCAACCTTACTTTTTCTTATTATTAAACAATTCAGCGCGCGAAATCAAAAGTTACGTGTTTGGCGAAAATTTTGACTGATAAGCCGAATAAATCGAAAAACAGGGTCACCAAACGGGCTCGTGATATGCTACTACAGTACTACTTTCTTCAATCTATTCTAAGGAAATTAAATGACTAGTGAAAATATCTGCATATACAATGACACTTTAAAAGGGTCAACATCACCCCTAATATATATACCATCTATCTGACTTACGCCTAAATACATTTTTCGTTTAGGTTTGTTACACTTTCAGAATAGAATAGACTTATTATATTACCCGAAATAGGACTAAAAAGATTTGAAAATTCCAAAATAGGACTGTCATGTTTTTATTCCCAAAATAGGACAAATTACAATCATGTTTTGGCAGTACCAGACTTCAAACATAACAATATTTTCCAAACTTGACAGTAATTACTCCTATTTTGGGAATAAAAAACATGTCAGTCCTATTTTGGAATTATCAAACTGTTTTAGTCCTATTTCGGGAACTTTCCCATTATTAAATCATCCAACTCACTGCATACAAAACTACAAACTAACAAATAATGCTCTAAGCTACTCTTTCAGGAAGGTTGCTTTTTTAGAGTCGAGTCTAACATAAAAGCCACCATTTTAGGATGAAATCTCAAACATATAAGAGACCTTTATCAAATTAAGTGAAAACATCCTTAATCATTGCCGGTATTTTCTACTAATGTATACTTCTTCCGTTCAGTTTTAGTTGCAACATCCTCATTTTCATGTTTGCTAGCGTGCAACTTTGACTGTCACTATATTTAATTTTCTATTATTAAAAAAATTAAAAAAGCAGATTATGAAAATTTGTAATGAGGTGAATTCAAAAAACTAACAATTCTCATATACTAATAAATAAAATGTAGTTTAAGTAGAATATGTGAATTGTATAAAATTATCAGTGTTGCAACTAATAAGAAAAATGGAGGATAGCATGAGAGAGATATAACTTAGAAAGAAAAGAAGCTAAGAGCTTAAATAAACAATTACCTGTAGGATTTTGTTGACATTGCTAGCACCAAAAACCTTATGCACACTAGCAAACTTGTGGGGCTCATCAGCTGGAAAGTGAGGAGCAAAAACACAATCTTGAGTACATCTCCTCCTAAGCAACTTACATGCTGCACATGGGGAAGCTCCACCATGCCCTTTTCTCCCACTTTCCTTCATCATCATCACTTCCAATTCTATTCTATTATTAATTGCAGCTTAATTGCTAGTCAACCTAAGATCAAATCAGTTGCTGAGATGGATAGATGTTTTTATTGCCTGAAATGCTATTATATATATATATATATATATATATATATATAAGGCTGTCTTGCCTTGTAGGGGCTATACGTACGAATTCTATATTAATGAAAGATCGAGCCAAATCATATATAGAAGGAAAAATGAAAATAAATATAGTACTGTTAGTTCAAACTAGCTTAGCTTATTAAATTAGCTTGGGAGCGACAGAGACAAATTATAAAGTTTGGGAGTATATATAAATGAAAAGTTAAAATGGAATTTATTCGGATATCTTTGATTTGG